GTTTGGTGTGGGGAACATGACTTAAGTATGCCAATGTGGCATTTGATGTCTGATTAAAATTATCATGTGAAGAGATCTTAGAGAAGAACAGGCAAAAGGAAACAAGTGATATTTTAAGTGCTTCCTTCTTAGTATTGTCCAAACAGAAGACAGTTCAGGTAATTCATGACAGATGATACATACATCTTGTTTCCAACACCCTTTGCCATTTGTATAGTCATGTGAACACTGTTGGCTTGCAGTGTATCTGCTAGGATTATTAAACATAGGATAATTACCCTCCATCCTGATTGTGTAGACTACTAATTACATTGTTTGCTTCCATCTTGATTATGATAAGAAGAAATCGGTGTTTAGTAACCAGGTTTGGTTTGTTTCATGTGAAGATATCACCTGGGGTGCTCAGAGCAAAGAGCATGTCTGAGCAATGATTGTGCTTTGTGGTTTGTAATGCTTCAGGTCTTCGTCAGGACTGTGCCTCCAGCTCGGCCTCTGTTTCCCGCCGCAGTTCTAGTGCTTCTTTGCATTCCTTACGCAGAGGCACCTACAGTGACCAGGACTTTGACACATACAGTTTGGAGGACGAGGATGATGACTATTCCTTTTCCTATCACAGCAGTCACAGATATTCACCATCCCCACTCAGCTCCCCACGCTGCCAATCCCCATCCACCAGCACAGATTATAGCAGAGTAACAAACACCCGTATCCGACCCCCACGGAGAACAATGCAAAGTCCCATGCAAGAGAGGTCAAAGTATTCTGGGAATGAAGGTATGTGATACTATTCCCGAACCTTGTCAGTTATGAGACTATATCAGATGAGCGCTATACAGAACCTGTTGGGTTTCCTTTGCAGAGGAGCTGCGGCATAGTATGCCTAACCTGGCCAGAACAAGTCTGCGCTCCTTGGAATCAGTAAGAAATAGCCGTAGTTTGGAATCAGATCTGCAGGTTCCCAGTAGCCGACTTTCTAGAATCCACCAGCCGTCAGCCGGTAAGTTGGCTGCTTTTTGCTTTGTTTTTTTTTAAGTGCCACCTAAAATAACGGATGATGCAGAGGTTGTTGGTTGAGTGTTCTGGTTTAAAGAGGCATACGCCTGGATTTGAGTGGAATTGCAATTTTGCTGAAGCAGCAAATTCAAAGTGTGGATTAATTTTTGCTCCGAGATATACTGGAGTACCCTTTATCAGCCTCATCTGGCCAACCTGCTATGTCTAGGTCTGAAGAAATTGAACACAGCATTGGCCATTAATCTCCTAGTCAGTATTAGGTTGGATTATTACAGTGTATGTAGGGCTGCCTTTGAAGACATTTCAGAAACTTGAGTGGTTTCAGAATGCAATGACCAAAGTTTTGCCTGGAAGTAGTAGATGGATCATATAATGCCAGTTCTTTACCAGCCACATTGGCTACCCATTTTCATTTTGGATTCAATTCAAGGTGCTAGCTCTGGGCTTTGACACTCTAAGAACCTCTTTCTCATCTGATGAAACTGAAAATTCTACTGTGCCTCTGGGGCACTTATGCTTGTTCCCTTGCTGATAGATGTATAACTCGTGGAATGAAATTTATGCTTGTTCCCTTGCTGATAGATGTATAACTAGTGGAATGAAGAAAAAGCTTTTTCAGCCATGACATCCAGACTATGTTACTTCCTGAAACGGGTTCATTTAGCTCCTTTATAGTCTGATATCAGGGCTATATTGATCTTTTCTGGTGGATATTTGCAGAAGGCATCATTAATGACTGTTTTCCTGTTGTTTTTAATTTGTTTTATTTGTCTGGTTTTTTTATTGTACTGTAGTCTAACATTTTACTCGTAAATTTATATGCTGTTTCAGTGTTAGAGGAACTGTTTCACCATAAGGAAATATACTATGCACAATTTTGATGTGCCTAACACCTTATCTTGTTTAGGAACATTTCATTCACGTCAGAAAGGCAAGAAATGTATTTTGTAAATAAAGTCTTACTTGGCTCACTTGTGCTTTCTCTTCTGTTCCACTTCCAAGGTTTGACTCCAAGTAAGCTACGCTATTCCTCTAGCACCGGACAGCCCCCCTTAACAGTCCGACAGCCAATGAAAGCAGGGTCCTGTGCAAACTCTCTTATAACATCACGGCAGCCAGTTAGAGCTCCTGGTTATGCCAGTCCTGCTGGGAGAGTCCGAAAATTGCCATCTTCTGCACTGCCCCCGTATTCTGCAGGTAGCAGCAGTTCTGCAACCAGAAGCAATAGTATGACTGTAGGGGCAAAAAATTCACTGCCTAAAGGTAGAACGTCACTTGGGGGAACACCCTCTCTGAAGAGTAAGCTGACTCAGCCAGCTAAGAGGTAAGAGCTAAAAGCCTGAATATGACAATGAAAGAGAATTGTTTGGGTTTGTGCCTTTAAGATCTAGTTATAAGAGCCTGACCAAAAATCATCCATAATGTGTGGACTTCCACAAGCATAGATCAGAAATATTAGACGTCTCTCAGAATGCCATCTTTGACACAAATAAGGTTCTGTTGGAATCCATTGGAAGTTGCTTACAAGTGGTCAGTTTTAGAACCCTAAAATATATAAAAGGACTAAGGATAGAAATGGGAGTTAAGAAACTGGTTCTGTTAACTGCAAAGGTGGGCCAGTCGAGATTCTCTAGAAGTTTTTCGGCCTGCAGCTTCCATCTTACACAGTTGTCAATTACGTGTTGTAGTTTATTGATGCTAAACAAATATCGGATGAAATGCTATTTATAGTTTTCTCAACAGATACTGTAGTGTGTGGTTCCAGAGGGCAAATGTGAATTTACATGTATGAAACACAGTGCTTGAATCATACATGTAAACTAACATTTATATTATGTTAAACTCTATGGTTCAGTATCAGTGCAAGTGACAGTGAAAATCCTAGTGTTTGGTTAAAATGATCTCCAGTATATGAGAACTTCTGAAAGATAGCCGTGGAGCTTCCTCCTTCACATGTCTTTTTAGGTTTGTGATGATCCCTTCCTGTAACTTTAGTGCATCAGTTTTAATATGAGATCCTGCAGGTTGTATGTTTCAAAGTGACCTTTCTGAAACAATCCCTCTCACACACAACGCTAAATACCAGTTTTCATTGTTGAATGACCTAGAGCAGTGGTTCCCAACCTTGGGTCCCCAGATGTTCTTGGACTACACCTCCCAGAAAACCTGGCCGGCACAACTAGTGGTGAAGACTTCTGGGAGCTGTGGTCCAAGAACATATGGGGACCCAAGGTTGGGAACCACTGAAGAGAGCTCTTTCATTCCTGATGTGTCTTTTTTGGGTGAAGGAAAAAAAATAGGCAGTGTGCTAGCCATCCTTGCTATATCTAGTTGTGTCTTGGGAACATAATGATGGTTACAACTTCTCAGACTGTGGACGTACATCAGAATACATCTATAATTATTGTTTGTGTTCTTGCACTTCTTTAGAAATTAAATGTTAGAGTCGTTCAGCAGATCTGGGACAGGGGTTGTCTTGCATGTTTTTTTTTTTTAACAGCAGAGCATTTAACTTGTTGCAGTCTACAAACTGATAAATTACATAAATACTGGTCATGTGTTTTGATTTTTATTCTACTAGTGCAGAGGTGTCAAACTCAATTTCATCTTGGGCTGCATCAGTGTTATGGTTGCCCTCAAAGGGCTGGTTGTATCTGTAAGACTTTATAAATGTATCTCTTGAAATTTGATTATTACTGCACTTTCTGGCTCTTTACTGCTTGGAATGCTGGGATTAGAAGTCCCGCTGGGCGGATTCCCAGCATCCTTGCGGAGCATTATGGGTGACTGAGCAAGCGCCTGCATATTGAATACTGCACAGTAGCAGGAAACACTGCGAGGACCACATGAAACAGCCCAGCGGGCCGGATTCAGCCCACGGGCCTTGAGCTTGACACATGTGTACTAGAGCATCATGTAACTTTGTTTGAAATATTCAATCTCATGTTCCAACAGATTTCCAAAGGCCAATGTTGTTTCTGTTGATGACTCTTGGAAGGATGGGTGTTACTGAGCCAATCTGAAGATGTTGATAAACAGTGATCTCTTGGTGGAACTGGACAATAGCCCAGCTGGCTGGGCTGGAGGAGGTTCTCAAAATTCGGCTTCTCTCCATCAGCGCCAGACCTGACCAAGTCGGATAATTGAATTCATGCCACCTCTTGCCTTTTGCCTAGACGATGGTGGAAAATTGACTGCCTTTTTGTTCCTGCTGTAACATTCTTGCTGCTGAGCCTTGTTGATAGAAGCTTTCGTACCTGCCGTACAGAGGGCTGCCTGATGTCCACACTTGAATATTTACTCTTGGTGCCCACACTAAGGGGAAAGAACCAGGGAGAGAATACCTGTGGCACTGAACAGCTTTTGATTCGTTGGCTGTCTTGTTCTGCAAAAGGGTCTAGAGAAATTAGAAATGACTGTTTACAATTATCATCTGGAGTACCCTAAGTTTTGTAGGAAAACCAGAAGGATTTTTACTTGTCCTGAGGAAATGTATCTTGACTACTTTTGTTATTGTAGAGTTGAAACAGCTTTTTTAATGATTGACAGTACACTTGAGATTTGTATCACCTATCACAGGGGAGTGTCTTAAACCCATAAGCAGCAGGACCACTTCCAAGACCCTCCTCCTGTTGTCTTGGTTGCAGTGAAGTCACATTGTACCTATTCTCCCTTGTCTTCTTTAGCTGGGTAAGAGTTCTGGTATTGACGTAGGTAGTGGTACCACTTTTGCAACTGAACATGCAGTTGAAATATTTATCTCACAAGTCTTCATCTAATCACAGATACTAAAATTCTTTCTGATTTTGTACAAGTCTTTTCTATTCTCTTTCAATGAAGGAACATGGTTTTTAAACTATCAGTGGTTGCAGGAGCTTGCAAAATGCATAAACAATCGTAACTGAAAATAAGGATAGGTTTGCCAACTGTATTTCCTGCTACTAATATGACTTGATAATGTAGTTAATAAATGTGAAGGGGCTAGTATTACCTTGCTGTCTTCAGTAGAAAAGTTGTTTCCTGCTGGTTTCTTTACGCAAGAATGTATAGGTGGTGGGATTGTCTTTAAATGATTAAGCAGTTTTCCCTTTCCACTTCCTTTGTGTCAGAGGCACCACAGTACAATTAATTTATCCTGTAATTTTTACCCAGGTGTGGGCAATATTGAGAATATTAGGGATAACTAAGGTAGAGCCATCCATAGAATATATTGTGGGACATACCTTACACAGACTTAGGTGTAGAACTGTCGGTGTAAACCCTGTTTTCAGTTCTGCCAGAATAAGAATGTGATTCCTTTCTACTGACTGCCATCCTTAAGGCAGTGTAGGTTCCTTTGAAAAGATGGGGTGGGTGGGGGAATATCTATACCTCAGGACTTAAATACACATTAAGTGTTCTCATACATGAAGCTCCTTCAGTGTGTGTGATGAGTAGGAATTTTGTAGAGTGGTGCCTTGCTTAACGACGATAATTTGTGTGTGATGAGTAGGAATTTTGTACAGTGGTGCCTCGCTTAACGACAATACGTTCCAGGAAAATTGCTGTTAAGCGAAAACATCGTAAAGCGAAATTTAAAAAAACATTGAAACGCATTGAAAACTGTTCAATGCGTTCCAATGGGCTAAAAACTCACCGTCCAGCGAAGATCCTCCATACGGCAGCCATTTTCAGTGCCTGTATAGCAAGGAATCCATCCCTAAGCACAGCGGGGAGCCATTTTGAGCTCCCGGCGGCCATTTTGAAAACCCAGCTACTAGCTGTTTTTGATTGTCGTAAAGCGAAAATTGGTTCCCAAAGCAGGGGACCGATCATCGCTAAGTGAAATTCCCCCATTTAGACCATCGTTTTGCGTAAAGCTGATTTGTCATAATGTGGGGTAATCGTTAAGCAGGGCATGACTGTATATGCTATAGTTGTAATGGAACTAATATATTTGAAAACAGCAGTTGTACAGTATATAAACAAAACAGTGCAGTTTTGTCAGAGCAATAGAGCAAATGCCAAAGCTTTAGCTAGGGAGGATTGGCAATGAAGAATGTACTGAGCTAAATTAAAGCTTTAGATTAGGCATCCTTCAGTCTCAAGAGACTATGGTAACATGCTCTGTATGGAGGTCTTGGAACAGCATCTAGTGTGGCTGAGAAGGCCAATTCGAGAGTGACAATCCCTTCCACACTGAAGACAAGTACAATCTCTCCCCTGTCCAGCTCCCTGATTTGGCCAGTTTGGGGACTGACTCTTTGCCTTGGCGTGCTGGACAAGAGTCTCTTCAAAATGGGAGAGGCCATGGTGTACCGCCTCCCTCCAGGCTGAATGCTCAGACATCAAGGTTTTCCATCTCTTGAGGTCCATTTCCAAGGCCTTCAGATCCCACTTGCAGATATCCTTGTATCGCAGCTGTGGTCTCCCTCTGGGGCGATTTCCCTGCACTAATTCTCCATACAGGAGATCTTTTGGAATCTCACCATCAGCCATTCTCATGACAAGCGGAAGCCAACATAGAAGTTGCTGCTTCAGTAATGTATAAATTAAAGCTTATCTATTACAAAAGTCACGTAACAAGATGCTGAACAAATAAATACCCAGTGCAATTTGACAAGTACATTTTTTCTTGGCTACTGGGATAAGTATTTTCCTTTAGTCAAAGAATGTAAATGATTATCCCAACTAATAAGTACAACTAGTTCTTCCAGTAGAGGACTTCATGCAAGCTTACAGATGAAGTCATAGGTCTTTTTTTACAGTAAGCTACTGACTCCAAACAATTAAAAAATTTATATAACCTCATTGCTTGCAATTAAAAGCGAGGTGACTGCTATGATTACAGTAAGCTGAGGTTTCTACTGAAACTTAGAATTCCACTGGGATGAACGTAAGAGGCAATCTTTAAAATCAATGTCATCCTATAGTGGGTGGAAATAAAAACTAATACAATCATGAACGAACAGCCTCCCTTTGCTTAAACAACAACACCCCAGACAACTGGAGCTTGTGATTATACTCATTTCTGAGAAAGTACAAAGGGCACTGGACATCACTTAAGAAAAACTGACTCACTTTTTCCATCCGAACATGGAAGGATTAAGCTTGCTTTTTAAAAGCCTAATTGGTTTGAAGGAAGAGTATGGAGTCAAAGGAGTGGACTTCTGAGTTTATGGATTTAGTCCCTTGTGTGAAGTGAAAGTGAACCCCTTTGTAGAACACGGATACACAACAGTGGGATAGCTCAGCATAGATGACCTTAACTATCATCACCCAATGGCTTATACCAAATTCCATAATACATGGAATTACAATAACTTTATTCAAACAGATTAATTTTATTTTACAGTTATGCATCAGTGCATTTTTAAAACAGGAAGCAATTTCTTTTATGTTTACATAAGGGCAATCAAAACAATAGAAAACCCAACATTTACTAAGAGGTCCTAAAACATGCACAATTAAACATTGACTTGTGCCTGGGAAGATGTTTGATCAGAGGGGAGAAAACATGAGAGAAGAGCCCTTTTGAGCAACAGCCTGAATCAGACCTTGGCAGCCACTGCACCTCAGGAGGTTCCAAACTCTGCTGCGTCGTGGAGGGTGTGCAAAAGGACCCGCCTTGGTCTATATGTTGCAAATAACCTGCTGGGGCTGCAGGAATTAGTGGCAAAAGAACTACACAGTAAAAGAGCAGCATGGGGGAGATCAAGTGCCTTCCTATCAGTACTGACAGCCGCAGTGTGGCTAGCACATTTCCCATAAAATTTGCTCACTCGCAGTCCAAGACAAAGCCTTAACCTCTTCTTCCAAAACAAAAAGATCATAGACTTAAGACGCCAGCTCACATTGCAATCCTCACAGGGGCATCCCTGAAAGTTACATGGAAAATTCCTTCTCTTCTTGTACACTGTCACCTGAGGCAACAACCCCTTTAAATAAAATGCAAGTCTCCAGACAAGTGCTGCCAAAAAGCACTTGCAGTTACTGCAGCATGCACAATTTTTTTTGGAAGGCACTGTCTCGTGTCAACCTGTATTTCAGAATCATTCTGGAGGTGTGCATGCAATGAATCGTAGAACCTAACTATTTTAGGGACAGCTTCCTGTGTATTTCACATTTTAAGTGAGCCTTAAATACTCCCCCCCACCTCCCAAAATCACCAGCTTAAGATTCCCCCAGTGTTTTATCCACCCTTATGTCTAATGTTATGCCTTGCAGGTTAGGAACCATAATTGCACCATATTCAGAATCATCGCGACAACTGCCAGTCTTCTGTGCTGTGCCATGGCTCCGGCTTAATGCAAGGGTGTGCTGCTAGAGCAGCTGGTTAGGTCTCCCTTGCTCCCTCTGCCGGTGTTGGCAGAGCACCACAGCTATTACAGGGTGAAAACCATTCCAGACCAGGCAAGAGGAAAAGACTCTCAAAACAAACTACAATGAGCAGAAACATTAGGAGAACATCAAAACATTACATAATTGCCAGTCACCCAAGTCACAAAGCAGAGCTCACCAAGATGCTCTACAAGAGAAGAACCACAGGAGGATCTTACCAAGGACATGAGTTTAGGAAAGGCACTGCTGGAAAAGAAATTATGGGAAGAGCTGGTCATGTGTACCTGGGCCAGGACACACAAACAGGAACCCAAGGGCGTTCAGCAGTCCATATGCAAGGGCTGAAGGATGTACTGCCAGCTCTCCCCACCCTCTCCAGCAGGGCATCAGGACAGTAAAGTGCAAAGCATGATAATACAGAAATATGTTTAGACCCTCCCACTATCAACGCCTTCCTTTCTTGGACAGCTCGACAGTTAAAAGACAAAACTACCTTCAAGTAAGTTTTTTAAAAGTAACTCGGCTGCCTGGAGGTTGTAGTTCGGGATGCCACCCAATATATTTTGGGGTGATAAGGCAAAAACACTGAAGTGTCCTGGAAGGATGAAGAGTAAGGAAGTCAGAGTTTGTTTTATGAGGGTTCTTCTTGCAGGTGTGCGGTTGACCGGTTCTGACAGCTACTTATGTACACAACTTGGCCACGAAAGCCCCCCACAAGCCGCTGACACAATGATGTAAATTATGACCTGTGTAGAGAAGACATAGTCATTTCAGTGACTTCCCCGAACACCCTATTTGTGACTATGAAGAAAGTGCCATGTATTCTTTAGAGCAGTGGCCCCCAACCNGAGTGTCATTTCAGTGACTTCCCCGGACACCCTATTTGTGACTATGAAGAAAGTACAATGTATTCTTTAGAGCAGTGGACCCCAACCTTTTTGCCTCCACGAACTGGTTTAGTGGGTGGGTGGGGTGTGGGGGGGCATGTGTGCATCTATGTGCATGGGGGGAGGGCGAAGAGATTTGTTTCCACAGCCTGGTCCTGGGAAGGCCACAGACCAGGGCCAGGCCACGGACCAGGGGTTGGGGACCCTTACTTTAGAGCATATAGTACCACTGTATTTTTCAACAAAGACTGCTCCAAATTCCCCCTCTTGCTTTTGGGATAGTTGTTTAACCTGAACAGGTGACACGTCATCAGTATCATTGCTGGCCAAAACGTTCAAGGCACCGGCAGCATAGTCATACCCAGAACATTCAAAATTCTACAAGGCTATTCCTCCCAGTTATGATGTTTCCAGTATAGAGAATGACAGCAGAATAGAATAAAACTCAAGGAGACTTCATGGGTGCCTTGGCCTCCTAGACAGAAGCTCAACCTTGCTGAGTAGTTATGGACATTTCCACCCCCCCACCACCTCTAGATGAAACCATATGTGTAGTGTAGCACCCCACCCCCAGTCCCTTGCAGGCCAGATGAATACAGCAACTTACAATTGATACTATGGCAATTATAATGGTGAGCTTGAGGTTCTTCATGCACATCGCTCTAGCTAGGTTCCTGCTGGTTGTTTTGAAAGTGACAGACTATGGGAAGAACACAGGAGAACTAGTATCAAGTAATCTACAGTGGCCTTTGACCAACGATCATGACCTGTATATGTAATATTCTGGATTTCCCAGAGTGCACCATCACCAACTGCCCCAGTCTTGTTTTCAGAAGATGAAGAATATCACAGCACCTGGAGGGATGCTGGACAGGACAAGCTGGACAGAAAACAATGAGATCTGAAGATATGCTTCATTCATCTCTGTTGGGTGGCTTCTGAGAGCTCCAAAGATGCTCAAGATACATCTATTTCATTAATTTGGATCAGTTTTATGTGTGTATTTCTCATTTACACTTGGCCTACAGGCCTTTTCATCTAGAAAAGATTCAACGGTGAATTGATTTAACAAAGAAACATATTTTGCTGTTCTGAACAAAGATGACACAGAAGGTTGGAAGATGTTCCATGTGACGTGAAAAAAATGCATCCCAAGTTTCAAAGACTAGCTACACCAAGAAAAGGCATCACCTAATTTGCACATCACCCTGTTATTTCTTTCAAAACACATATTGAAGATGAAGATATGGCAACTACTTGAGGGCTTGAAGCTCTTTCCTTTCAGTTCCATATATACGTTAAGATATTCCCTAGTGAATTCAGCCAAACAGGCAACTGAAGACTGTGGGACTGTGAAACGCTTTCTTCAGTAGATCTCAATGCTCAGTAAGGCTTGTAGGAGAGAGTAGAGTCTTTTGGCTTGGTTGGACCCAATGATAACTCATAACCAGCACTATGAACTGTTTCCTTGCCCCACTTCCAAAACTTACCGAATCCACAAGATTTTCAGTTTTGTCTATCAGCAACTCCAGCTTCTCTCCTCTTTGGGCCACAAGGTCTGGGATGAAGAGAGAGTCAGTGAAAATCAGTGGGAAAGCAATTCCACTGCTGCTGTTGACAAAACAAGCTGACAATATGTACAGCACCCATGGGATCTCTGGGCCAGGTGTCTCCTGAGTTTAACAAGATGCATGATTCAGCAGAGCATGAGCTGTTTAGATATGCATAGAAAGGCCAGTAGCTTGGGGACAGTCTCCACACTAATCCAGGAGAAGGCAAGAGTATAAAACAGAACCAGTGTTTCAATTTTGTTCCATCCAGCCTTCTGGCACATAAGCCAAACACAATGACACAGGCCCACAAAAGAGCTATTTCCCCCCACTGCTCCCGCCCCACCATGAAGTCCAGGCAGAAATGCATTTGTGCTGGTGCAGAAAAAAAAAAGACCCTCATCTCAGTTAGACCCAGTTGGATCATCCTCAGGCAGTCATTCTCATGCATATAAGAGCTACAGAGGCTCACTGCACCTTTGCCAATACAGTACCTATGTTACGGACCATGATCCCTTTGAGTTCATCCACCTGGGCCTGCGTCTCTGCCACCTGGTCAGGCCCTTTATTCTCTGAATGGTATTTCTGCAGGGCAGGAGGAAAAGAAGACAGAGGAGTATGTAATGCTTCTTTAATGAAGCACAAAATATTTCTACAAAAATCTAAGAAAGTCACCCTACAAAGAGACTGTGCCCAGGGAACTGTACACAGATTTTTTTTTTCCAATCTCACTTCAGCGGTTTCTGCTTTCTGAATAATTCTCCTCTTCCCTCCATACTGTACCAATGTACCTCCTTGCTCCTCCTGGTACTCATATCTGTCTCTTTTTCACAAGGCTGGGGTAACTTTGCCTCTCCAGATGTTTTGTGCTCCAGTTCTCACAGGTTTTTTTTACCATTAGCTCTGTTAGCTAACACTGGTGAGAGTTGTAGGTTAAACCATTTGGAGGGCTGAAGCACCCCATGCCTGCTCTACAAACTAACTGGAATTTATTTGGCCCATAATCCTGAAGTTTGTGTGCCAGAAAGAAAACTGTTTATTTTGGTCATAGGTCTTTACAGAGAAGATACAGTATATAAAACTGGAACCATATAAGTAAAACTATACAGGTTTATGACAATTTAGAATCAGAACGCTGCTTTCAGAAGAAAGAAAACATATCTTCTACTTTCATCGATGGAGAAATGACTTTAGTTTTGGGCCTGCTATACAAAGTACCTGCCAAAATACACATGTAAGCCACTGGGACAAAGTATTTCTTGACATGCAATGCCTATAAGCCTGCTTCTCATTAGTAAAGAGGAAAGTACATCCAACCTGCCCTAGAGGGATAATCTAGGACAGACTATCTCCCTAAGATTTTAACATCATGCCCCCCTGTAGGTTTCTGAGAAACCCTCACACCTCCCTACTTCTCTTTTATTACCAATTTAAACCCCGTAGATCTGAAATTAGCAATTTAAAAACAAACATAAACATGTACTAAAATTATCCTAAAATAAGCACAACATGAACATAGAGGAACACAAGAATGTACTGTAGTGAGATTTACATATACCTGCTAACTTTGATATGAGCCACTTCACTCCCTCTATGCTTTCATGATATGAACCAGTTGCTTTTCTGCCACTTTCCTCTACTATGTACTTTATTTATTATCCTGCCTTTCTCCCCAAAGGTGGGATCCAAAGGCACTAACTCCTGCCTAACCTTTGGAAGAAAATGCTGTGCGTGCCTGGACAAACTAATCCAAATTTGCTCAGAATTAGCAACAAAGAGAAAAAATGGTCTGTTGCATTTCTCCAGGTGAGAAGTGCTCTTGGGCAGGAAGTCAAATACCCAAATGACAGGGAGCTGCCCTATATCTAATGGCGGTTGCACTACCCTCAAATTATAAAGTTTGTCATGTGGGAGATCTCTAACTGATTGCTGAAGCCAGGAGGGCTTTATCTCAGCCTTGGATGGTGTTCTGGTTGTGCTTATACCTAAAAATTACAGTCTAGTCAATATACCCTATATTTCAGCTAGATCGCATTAATGGAAGCATATTCTATATAGGGCTGCCCTTGAAGACTGCTTCAAAATTTCAGGAAATGCAAAAACAATGCTGCAGACAGTTTTCTATGTGCCACATCTGGGGACTGTTACTTTCAGATGGTACTGGGAGATAGTCTGTTCAGACCTTAAAATATTAATTGTAATTACCGGAAAGGGTTCACATGACAACATTGAAAACATCACACCCTTCCCAGTATGAATTTCAGTAGACCTTAAAATATTAATTGTAATTACTGGAAAGGGTTCGCATGACAACACTGAAAACATCACACCCTTCCCAGTATGAATCTGCATACTTTCCAAGACCATCTTGTGAGCTCAGTCACTTCCAGTACTTTATCATCACTACACATTTCCTTTCCCAATAGCATTTAATGTATTCAGTGCACAGGGCTGTTCTTATTTTAGTCTTCTTGATTCCTTTTAGTGCTAGTTTTGATTAACTGATGGTTTTGCAAATTTTGTTGGCTTAATTAGTATTTCTTGGTTTAGTGACTTGTTATATAAGCTGCTTGAAAGGATACAGTCGGTGCAAGAAACTTGGGGCATGTCTGCACTGGCAGAATAGCTTACTATTGCTTTTGGTGCTGTTTGGTTTACAGCATCCACACGTGTTTTGACCTAGAGCAATCCAGCCTGCCCATTTTAAAGCTGTTCTGTCCTTTCTGGCACAGCAATGGGGCTACAGTGGGTTTTTTTGGCACGATTTGGAGCACTCCTAATTAGCTAATTCTGTAGCCCATGCTGATTAATCTGCACCATAAAAGAGCTGCGGGTGATGCTATCTAAGATAATGACCCAGTGATTTGGTGGGTTGTGGTATTGAGAGGGCCAATGGAGAACCTGCCCCCCCTTTTCATCTACTCTGCCATTTAAAAAATATGTGTATTTTCCTATTGCTGCAGCACTATTCTAGATAAATGAGATACAGTGGCAGTATTATATGCACCATGCTAAATAGATGCATTTGCTGTTGCACTGTGTCACTTCATTCAAAATGGAAAGTTGCCTAAGCCTGCTAAATGATGGCCATGAGAAAAGGCAGGGAAGGGGGGTGTCATCAAAAGGAGGACAAATTAGACTGATCCAAAAACCTGCCTGGACCCTTCTCATGGGAGAAGAAACATAAAGCAGTGTGAGCAGAAGGATTGCTCGAGTGAGATAAAATAGATCGCACTAAATATAAGAACCTTTTAAGTGTGAACCAGACTGCTCCAGTTCCCCCTGTCTGGATGTGCCCTCACTTACCAACACACAGATTACTTCTGAATTCAGTAGATATTTTAACCCCTCAAACAGAAACTAGTAAGCAAACTTTTGGGGTTTGAAAAAACTGAAACTCCTTTACTAATCCAAAGTAGTGTGGATAAGGCCTCTGAAACTACATGCAGCATTCTGCTCTGGAACTCACCAGCTGCGCAGCAAGGACACTGGAAAACTCGCTATTCATAGCATACGGTAGGGCTGTTTGTGCACGAGAACCGTAGGTGGTTTGGAATCGCTTCTTGATTTCATTCAGGAACGTGAAAGCTCTGGAACGTTCAAAGTCCTATTAAGTAATAAATAACATTATAAATCTTCAGAACAATGCATTCATTTCAGATAAATGCATAACAGCTATCAGTCGTGAAAGCTAAAACAGAGCCTCCAGGAAATGCATCTTAAGAGGATCTGGGCTGAGGACAGACACCTGCTGGTTGGCTATTGCTGAAAACGTGTACATTCATTTCAGATAAAAGCATAACAGCTATCAGTTGAGAGCCTCCAGGAAATGTATCTAAGAGGATCTGGGCTGAGGACAGAAACCTGCTGGTTGGCTATTGCTGAAAACGTGACAGTGGACTTGTCCCATGATCCAGCAAATGAAATCTTGTGCTATGAGAAGCCAGGCCAGCTATTGATACCCTACCCTGTAATCCACTCCAGATACCCAAATATAGAGGGTCACACTGCAAATGCCATTTCAATTTGCAATCAATTTACAATTCTGGTGACAGATCATTCAATTTGGTGATTACACTGGCCCTTTCTTGCCACCTGCCTCAGAGCACCTGCAGGTTTTGTGCTGGAAAGTATAAACCAAGTGGGGCAAAACAAATAAATCAAAAAACCCAACCATTTGTCTAACGAAATAAGAAACCCAGAATGTTCCTTGCGAATGATGAATAGTATCTTTGTAAACAAACCATTAAACAAATAGTCCAGTAATCACACCCAGGGAAACCCCTCTGTTATCCACCTATTAGATTAGGCATCCTTCAGTCTTGAGAAACTATAGAAACCCCTCCGTTATCCACACCATTCAACATACAGCAGGCACCTCCTGAGGATGCCAGCAACAGGAGATAATGAACAGAAATCCTCGGTATTATACATCTGAGTTCTGCCACACTGAAACTGCCAGGAATATATTAAAACCATTGACAGCACAGCACAGAAAACAAAACGTTAAATCCTCCCAGTAGTCACATCAAACACCCTAAAACAACTGAGTCTTACAGAACTTGAAAGACTAACAAGCGTTCTTTGGCAAAAACTTGCAGATTTTTGCCTGCTTTTTCAGATGCGTGATGTCAGGCAGATAGAGTTTTGACACAAACACAGGGAACAACTTTACACCAAGGAGTAACATTCCTCCTCCTGTTTTTATAGCGATGCCTGCCTACTGAAACCTTACTCTACCCTTCTCATAAAGCAGACTAATGTCCAGGAAAAAAATTACGCCATGTTAAAAATTTTAAAACACTCTTATTATTTGGCAAAACAGAAATACAGCTACTTTCCTGGAAATTATGTATCTTGCTTAGAACACACACAAATCCCAAAGTTTTGAGGGGAAACAGCTATATAGAGTGAAGGAGGGAGAGCTGTGTGCACTAACAAAGAGCAGAAATAACTTTTAAATATAGCCGAAGTATTATAATCCTTAGAGCTCTGGATTAGGATTTGGGAACTCTAGGTTCAAGACCCCACTCAGATATGAAAGTTACCATGTGATCTGGGCTAATCAGTCTGCCTTTACCATTTCTCAGAATCATTGTGAGGAAAAAACTGGGGAGGTGGAGAGCAATGTGTGATGCCCTGAGTGTCCTAGAGAAAAAAACAAAATGCAATAATAAATGCAATAAATAAGAAGTATGGATACTTTAAAAACCTTAAACATAGGGCCGAGATCTGACTCTACATATTGGTGACAGGCAGCATATTCCCAACGTCACTCTCTTTGGAGCAGCCACCAATAAACAGCACAAGTATGTACTTATGAAAGCCATATGACAGGATTGTCCTACATACTTACATCATCAGTGATGCACAGGTATATAATCCGGTCCTGGCAGATGTAGTGGAACAGGTAACTAGAGGAAGACAGGACACCAGCACAGTATTTTAAAGACAACAGTGGCAGTGATTTGACCCAATAGCCTCCAGGCTATGCTGTGCTAAAAAGCCTTTGTGATGCATCAAGCGCACATGCATCAAGCACACATTTCCAGTCTGTTCTTCCATAAAGAAATCACTGTTCTGCCTGGAACCAAGTTTCATTAGACCTCCAGTTCTTACTGCAGCTAAAACTGTGCTCACAACCTGGGGTTCAAATCCCAGGCAGCCGGCTCAAGGTTGACTCAGCCTTCTATCCTTCCGAGGTTGGTAAAATGAGTACCCAGCTCGCTGGGGGGGCAACGGAACCATGTTTCATTAGACCTCCACTTCTTACATGAGATGGTGAAGCAATTGTACAGGAACAATTCCTCCAAGAACAGGTTCAAATCATGACATTTTTATGAGATGGTGAAGTAATTGTACAGGAACAATTCCGCCAAGAACAGGTTCAAATCATGACATTTTTTCATTTTGCACAAAGTGTGGAGAACCTGCCACTCCTGAGCTGACTCATCACCCTCCTTGTCTGTAACTTGTTTTAAACAAAGGAACCTGACCTGTACCTCTGGGCATAAATTTTGGAACTTTTATGTTTCTTCTGCACCCCTTGCATCTCTGCAACATCCAGCCTGAATAAGACTCCTGTAGGAGTTGACAGGCAGCTTCAGTTTGTGACATACTGAAGTTGCCTGTCTAATAGGTCTAATAAAGGTATCATCATACCCTTGTCTTACAGAAGTCTGTTATCATACCTACTCACTTTAAGAAATTAATGAGATGCTTTCAGAAACTCATTGGCTTCACAACCACTCAGATTTGGCTGGCCTTTACTATTTACTTCAGTGGTCTTAATTAGCAAAGAGATAGCCTGCAAACCAGTGAGATGCTAATGGGCTGAAGCCAATGCTAGTCCTCTACTGTCTTGTGAAAAATGTGTGGGCAGTATATATTTACTTATGTATTTGAAATTACTTACTAAAATGCAAGCTTTTATCCATTCCCAAGCAAAAGCATTCATTTTGATCTCTTGTTGCTTAATGGCTTCTGGGCCTAATGATTTATGGGGAATGGTCTCAATAACATGTACGTTTAAAAGAACCCTGGTGCCTTGCTCCATTGCTAAACTATCCTCAGGAAGGGCATCCTTCCTGACATCTTTCCTCAACTACTACAATTTCATTCTGATGAAGAAAGGCCTAGTCTAGCCTGTTGTTTTAGGTGGGAATCATGAGCAAAACAAGTAAGAAGCTAGTGGAAGTCATTCAGACCTCATCTGCATATCACTTCAAACATCCCATCCCTTTTTACAAACTCATACCACAGGACTGCTTTCATTTAGTTTCCTCATCTGCAAGCAACAGATCTGCACCCTACCATCCCCTTTCTCCCCAGCAGTACTCACTTTCCATGTGAATAAGTAAGCTTGTTGTTCTCAGATGGTATCTTGGCTAGGATTTGCTCTGTCACTTCCAGGAAGTTCCCTCCACACCATGCATGTTTCGCCAGAATTGTGGAGCCCCTGGCTACCACTGCAAACAGGATAGCCATGGCTGTGGAGCGGCTGCAAGGACAAGAGACACAGAAATAAAGGATTCACCCATCAGACTATAGCACACAAACCACACCTCTGCCACTGTCCCATAACCATTTGTGTGTGTCATAAGAGAACCATGCCACAGTTCCATAAATGCTGCCTGCCCCTTTTCACATGCAAAAGCATTGCCTATTTTACACAATAACTGGCAAAAGTTCACATTTTAGATAAGCAACATGCAATGGCTCATTTTTCCTCCCCTTCAGCTCAGCTTTCTGCTATCCTGATCACAAGACATCCAAAGAGCTGAACATTCTTGAATAATGATCTTTTCCGTGACAAAAGGAATGGAGAAACAGAAGGCAAAATTCCCTGAAGGTGGGAGAAGATGGGAAGACATTTCAAGCCAGCTTCATCCAAGGAGCAAGTGCCAGTGAAAGGAAATCAGCTTGATCTGATTTGATACTACTGACCTTCCCAGCAGTCATTATTGAATGTAACTAAAGCGCTTTAGCATTCTTAGCAAAAGCTCATCTACCTACTTCAGGTGATTCAAGGGGTCACAGATTTGTGACCATTTCTTATTCTATTGCAATCTGGACAACCAAACTCCTGTCCTGGTGTTTTAATAAGTCCATTCACAGGTAACTGTTGCCATGCTCCACATGGAAGGACTACACAGCTATAGGTTATCAATCTATTTCTATCAGTATCAAACAAGAGTTCCTGTTTCCCACAAGGAAATTAGAATAAACTTAATCTGCTCTGTGCACTGCTATCCAGTAGAGACTTTTCTTTCCATCTGATCCTTATTGACCATTCTGCATGCAAAACATGTGTTTTCCCATTGAACAATCTTTATGTTGTTAAGTGCTATCAAGTTGCAACCGACTAGGGTTTTCAATATATGTGAGATACTTAATGGAGTGGTTTTACAGATACTGCCTCCAGTGAGTTTCCACAGCTGAGCAGTTGAACCCAGACCTCTAGAGTTTGTCACCCCATCCACTATATCTCACTAGTTCAATGAAGCACGTTCCCTCCCTATTCTGGAGTAACTCCAGTAGACAAGTTCTGGCTTCCTTTGATATTTTACATATTCTGTAACTGGACAACCTGGATTGGGTTATTATTTTGTAAGCTCGGCTTTGTCTGCTGGTACAGGAAAAATGAAGTGGTAGTGTGGACTGGCATGGCCATGAAGGAAACAGATCTCCAGCCTACACCCTGTCTGCCTTGATTTTGCTCTTAAAGTGCCTCTTGTTGCATCTTCTTTCTCCACAAGCTTAATGGTGTAGATGTCTAAAATCATGTGTGTCAAAAGTAAGGCACAGATGCAACTCCTCTCCCACTTTCAGGTAACTACAACATTAGTACACATTAACTAAATAAGGATGTTCGATTTACATGTCTAGGGCTTAATTTACCCTGCCTTTTAGTGAGATCCCTCCTCACAAGTCTAATTTCTGGGATCAAGTAGCTGCTAACTACAATCCACAAAGTACTGCTTCTAATGTAGTATAAGCTTACTACATATACAGTACATCTCTAAACTAGCACCATGTGGAGCCAATGTACTATTTTGCCTCCAGTGGCAAGAATGAAAGTGAAGCAGCAACACTGCAGCATATCTAACAATACACACTCTCTGTATGACGCAAACAAACTACCAGACCATTTCTAGAACAGAGACATAGCACATGATTTACTCTAATGCATCACCTGATCACTCAAGATGCTTAGAAGGCTAAACATCTGACAGTGCAAGCAAAGCTAAAATGATAAGCCAGTCATAGACCTGAGTGAAGGATCTACATTTTCCCCCCCAAATAAATATCCACACAGTCTGTCCCTTTGGCTACTACATTATTTGAAAATCGCATTGCTACCTAGCAGGAAACAAAGTTTCTCAATGAACCTTGGCTCCTGAGAATTAATATCTCTTAATTGGCTTTCTGTAAAGATTCTTAGATCAGTGTCTAGGAAAAATAAGTCCCTTCACTGAGCAATGAGAAGTGGGAAAAGAGAGTGACTTAAAGTGCAGCTAACTTCCCATAGAAAATGCCAAGTAGCTAGCAACTAAGCTTATTCATAGCAAGAAACATGTACCTAGATTAGATCATGCTGTCATCTTCTTTAGAAACCTTGAAATTTCTCTGCAGTCTATTCCCCTTTGCTGATTAGTGACATATTGGGTAAGCATTGTGCATTTCCTTCCTACTTATCTACAGAGGCTGATGAAATTAAACTGCTCATCTCAACTACCCTCCACATTGTTTCCAAATACATGCCCTCATCTTGTTCTTCATAATTTCCACTGAAAATTATGAAGTGAAAGTGAATGTGTGACTTTGCAGCTGGTGCTAGAGGTACACAACAGAAAATCAAACACTTGATTTCTGTATCAGCCTTCAGTTATGCTACCTATTGTCAGCCTGCTTGACATCCTGACTGAATGCTCATTCTTTATCTAGCAACAAAAAATGGTTGATTCAAATGGGATGAAATGTATCGGCTGATTAACCTGAAACAAGACTAGAAATCTGCAAAGATCTTTTTTGAATTTGGTGCTGAAAAAAAAACCCTACTACCCTACTACTCTTCTTTGGGGGCAAACCACTTGAGTTTTTTGGGACTCCAGATTCCAGAATTCTCCAAGAGTCCCCCAAGCAAATTTCTAGGAGTCCTGTCCACAGGCACACATCTAAAGAGACCAAAATTTCACTGGACCCTATCTTCCAGACTGTCTTAGGGCTACTTCCTGTATAAAAGGAAACTACCCCAGTGCTTCCTAGGAGACCTAGGTCTTTGTGGAAGGTGCAATTCTCAGGGGGTATCCTGTTTAAACTCTAAAGGGCAGCAACATTATACATCCCATAAAGACCTAGGCCTCTCAGAAAGCACTGGGACAGTTTCCTTTTTGTACAGGAAATAGCCCTGAGACAGCCTTGAAGATGAGTGAAATGCACACATTCATAGGTGTGAGCCTGTGCGCAAGAACGTCCAGAATTTTGCCTGAGGAATGTTTGGAGAATTCTTGGACTGGGAAGTCCAGAAACAAATGGCACACCCCTACTCTTTACATGGCACATCTTCTGTAGTGTTAGTTACAGATGTGCACAATATTAGCGTTAATTTTCCCTTCCAACTCTCTAAAATTTGAATGGAAAGCTTTTGATGTTCAAGTGTGCCCAGAAGTCACAATTTTGGCTTCTAGTCTCATGGTTCAAAGTACTTATCTGGAAAGTCTTCTCCAGCTTACATACAGAATAAGCAAAAGCCACAGTTGCTCAATGGAGCTATCTCCTTTTCACTATTATGCATGTTGCATGCTACAGTAATTTGTACAAAGCCCTGCCCCCTGCCTAAAGCCCCATAAGAAAGAAAAATTAATTGCAATTCTATCATCACAGTTCATTAAAAGGAAAATGTTAAATACGACTCCACTAAGGTAAAGATTCCCCTTGACATTTAGTCCAGTCATGTCTGACTCTAGGGGGTGGTGCACATCCCCGTTTCCAAGCCATGGAGCCAGCATTTGTCCGTAGACAGTTTCCATGGTCACGTGGCCAGCGCGCCTAGACATGGAATGGCATTACTTTCCCACTGTGGTGGTACCTATTTATCTACTCTCATTTTTAGATGCTTTCGAACTGCTAGGTTGGCAGGAGCTGGGACAAGTGATGGGAGCTCAGTACGTTGCATGGATTCAAAATGCTGATCTTTTGACCTTGCAGCCCAGAGGCTTTGCTGTTTAACCTGCAGTGCCACCACGTTCCATGAGTCGCCTAGTACAGTTATTTCTTTTTCCCCTGAAAAGCTTATTTATTATTACTCTGGCTAACATTGCGTGTTTCAATTATTGCCTCCCCCCCTCAGAAAATCTACTTATTTATATTAATTCAACATGGACAAAAAAGTTATTTCCACAGTGTAGTAGGACAACTGTGATCCAATGTGCTGTTTAGCTGCACAAGTGCAAAGTCCACTAGTACAGTTATTTCTTTTTCCCCTGAAAAGCTTATTTATTATTACTCTGGCTAACATTGCGTGTTTCAATTATTGCCTCCCCCCCTCAGAAAATCTACTTATTTATATTAATTCAACATGGACAAAAAAGTTATTTCCACAGTGTAGTAGGACAACTGTGATCCAATGTGCTGTTTAGCTGCACAAGTGCAAACTTGTGGGTACTACCTCTGATATGAATTGCAAAACTGCAAATTTAAATGATGTCCATTAAAATGATGTCAATTACTCCCCCCCTCCAAAAAAAGAAAATAAATTGCATGACACCACATCCATGTTTGCCTGTTGCTCCAAGGCCTCCAGCGCACTAGAATGAACTACTGTACTGTAGTTTCAAACAGGCGCCTCAAAAACTAGAGAAAGCATGACAGGCTTTTTCCCACTCCTGCTGTATATTTTGTATTGGATTTCAGAACCTTGCCCTGAAATTTCAGCTGGACTTACTACCTTATGTAAAACTAATTTTACACAGCACATTTTGACCACATTCCCTTCTGGACAACTATATAGCCTTGTAACAAGGAGACATTCAGTTGATGAAACATGTTCAAGTGAGAATTCCTTAATGATCTCCCTCACCAGATGTGTTGGACAGCACCGGCCACACTCCACAATCCGTGTCCTCTCAGGGAAGTCCTTCCTTTTTTTTGTATCTTCCACTCACTCACGCTCCCTTCAAATCCTTTTTGTATAAAGCCTTCAGTACAATCATTTAATCAACATCCTCTAGTGCAGGTGAGCCTTAGGTTACCTATAACTAGACTGGACACAACAGCACAAGCTTTCATTTGGCGTGACCTTCACGGATTTCTTGCTCACACGCACCAACTGGACATGTATTCTTCCTATCTATCCTTTCACTAACTTTATCCCCAACTCAACCCCCTCTAGACTGCAAACTTTCTGAGGCTGAGATTTTTCTCCCCTTGTTAGTGATTCCCCAATACCATGAAGTGGAGGCAAGAAGATTCTTAAGGTTGTAAAGTACCAGATATAAAAACGTACGATTATCTCTTACTCTTCGGATTATTTGATCAAAGGGCAGAGCACAGATGAAAGTAAATGAATATTTACACATTCTCTCTGTTTATCCTTCCTTTGCTTTCACCTTCCTCCACACTTCTTAGCCTGAGAAGTCTCTGCTTTTGCCACACCCCGACTGTCTTATGTCAACTACTACAAGCTCAGTGGGGGTGAGGTGGGGGAAAAAGAGAGGCAAGGAAGGACCTGTTACAGCCCTGTTACAGGCAACATCTAAATCAGACCTGTTACAGGCAACATCTAAATCACTGGTTCTTAACCTTGGGTTACTCAGGAGTTTTGGACTGCAACTCCCAGAAGCCTTCACCACCAGCTGTCCTGACTGGGGTTTCTGGGAGTTGCAGTTCAAAAGCATCCGAGTAACAAAGGTTAAGAACCACTGATCTAAATCACCACCACCCCGAGGGAGAACCAGAAACTCTGAGCTACTGAACATGTTTCTGTCTACTGTGCAATCAGAAAAAAGGAGGGAAACACAGTATGGTGGAGTGGGTAAAGTTATGGGCCCAGAAGACTGCAGCCAAAAAAATCAAAAGACTGAGACTAGGAAGGGCAGTGATGAAGGAACTAGAGAAGATTACCAAGTGTAAGGACGTGTCACTAGATACTAAGATGATCCATAGTCTTGTATTCTTGATCACCCTGTACGGGTGTGAAAATTGGACAGTGAAGAAAGCTGAAGGGGGAGGGCAGAGAAGGATTCCTCTCAAACATGGTGCTGGAGGAGAGCTTTGCCAGCTGAGCAAGTGGGTGCTGGAGCAAATCAAGTCTGACCTATTTCTGGAGGCAAAGTTGTGCAAACTGAGGCTTGTCCTCCTTTGGGCCCATTCTGAGAAAGCAGGATTCTCTGGAAAAGACAACAGTGCTGGGAAAGGCAAAAAAAGGAGAAGGAAAAGAGGAAGACCCAATATGAGATGCACCCATTGGCCCCCTTAAAAAAAAAAATCAACGAACAGCCTTGAGTCTTCAAGAACTGAGCAGGGCTTCGGAAGGCAGGGCATTTTTTGGAGATCGCTTCTTCATAGGGTTGCAACGAGTCAGAGGCAACTTAATGAAACAGAACCACCACAAAGGCACAAAGAGACCTGGGTTCAAATCCTTATTAAGCCACAAAGACTTCTAGGGCTGGTGGAAGTGCTAAAACCACTCCTTTAAAAATCCCTGGAAAGCCCCATCCGGGTCGGTACAGTATAAGAGTTCTGCTTTGATGGCCAAGACTATGAGGAAAGCATCCTCTGGAAAAGGAGGAAGGGAAGACATG